GGATGTTAGAATTGTGTCGATGTCCCAATATTTCTGGACCTGACTGTACCATAAGACCAAGTCTCAGACTCCTCGGCTGGACCCGCCCAGCTGGAGTCCAACTTGGAGACGATCTGAGCAACTTCATCTGCCAGTTAGCCAGAATATTCCCCATAGCAGCCCTGCAAATGGTTGCGTGGCCCATCCCTGCCCAGTTGGGACTGGGTCGCCCTAAACAGGGCCACCGGATGGCTATCCGTAGATATAACAAGGGTGGAAAAATATTGACATTCCGCTACAGTTTTTGTCACAAGGTGATCCTAATGTGAACTCTTACCCACGTTTGTCATACTTGCTCCAAGTCTTCTTCCAATGGTGCTCCAGGGGTCTCTTCTGGCACATCATCTCCCAGAGCTCCTCTGTAAACCAAGGTGTACCCCAAGATCAGCACACAGGGACAGGCCGCAAGGGCTCACGGACAACAACAGCCACCTCTCCCCCTCCCCCCTCTCTTGTGGTCTTGGCTGATGGCAAACCTGAAACCCATGTGGGCACAATTCCGAGAGGTCTCCCTCCCTCTGACCCCAACCAGGTCTTGGTGAAACACACCACGTTGGTACCTTCATCCACGACAAGGGCATGAACAAAGGCAGCCTCATTATACACTGGCCTGGCGTCCAAAAGCAGCAGCTAGAACCCAGGACCACCAAGGATCCGACAGCTGGGCCCTGAGGGCAGAAGCTGAGGAATGGACAACAGGACCACTCTGAAAGACCAGACCCAATGCCCTCAAGAGCTGTCTGCCCCCTGGCTCCTGCCATACTTTCCTCCGCCTCTCACTATCCTGGAGCACCACTGGAAGTTCCAGCCTGTTCTCTCAGCTGCCCCCATCCTGCTTCCTCCTCCCAGGCCAAGGGACACGTTTCCACTCATACACACTGCCCCCGGAACACCCCCCACCACACCAAGCACTGGGGGGCCACAAGGGGGGCAAGCCCCTGTAGAGAAGGAACACCCAGGCACCCACCTCCCTAAAGCAGGGGAGTTCAGACCCCCAAAAGACCAAAAGCACCATGAAACCACCAACCCCGAGAAGGACCCCAGTCAAGGAGTTCCAGGGCCAGCAAGGAAGGCAAAAAGCCAGGGCCACCCACAGCCCCCTCATCACAAAAGGAGGCCCTAAAACCAAGGCATTTCCCTGACCCAGCACTGCCCAGCACTGTCCCGCGCCCCCAATCCCTCCCAGGACTGCCCCCCGGGGCTCCCACGCAGGCCAAAACATGTTGCTTTTGGCCCATTTTCTACACTGCCATATCTTCAAGGATATTAGATACCCTATCCAATTTTTGTCATCTGTAAACGTGTTCAATATTCCCTCCACCTCTTCATCCGAATTATTAATAAAATTATTGGAGAAAAGAGGACGTGGGAATGAACCTTGTAGCACCCCACTCAATAGCTCTCTCTAGTTTGATGAGAAACCACCTTTGAGTACAATTTTCAATTAATTGGTTAGCATGTCATGGGGCACGTGGCAAAATGTATCGCTGAACTCAAGATACATTATGTATATAACATTCCTATAATCATTACCCAATCAAAAAATGATAAGACAAGCTTAATCTGGAAAAACGTGTTGTTAAAAATCCATTGTCACATCTGGTAATTAACACCTTGTTTTCAAGGTGCTTACTACTCCTCTATAACAACTTTAAACCATTTTCTTGAGAAAAAACTTACAGAGAAACTCTTAAAATATAATTGGTGATTTGGATTCAAAGAGCAAAAGGTGGTTTGGATGTTTGTGGGCATCTGCTGAGGATACCTTAAGGCAGCAGCAATTTTCTTGGATTTGCACAGCTGCCCTCCCAACCTCACAGAAGTCCTAATAATTAGGAATAATTATAAATAATTGGGAAGGGTTCTCTATTTAAATTAAACTTTGTAAAACTCTCCAGGAGGAGAAATGAGGAGGATTCATTAACCCAGGACTGAGGACAATTTACTTGACCCAAAAGTCAAGGGAGGCATGCTACAAAATCTGCATGTAAGGAAGTGGGTTCAAATAAGACAGCAAAACGTGCATTGTATTTTTCAATCCTTTATTTTATGCTTGTAATCGAAGGACAAATTCATAACCAAATGCTCATCACCATTTCCAGAATGAATTTCCAAGTTAACCAATCATGCCATCACTTAAACCATTTCCTTCCTTCCCTCTTTCCCGAGGAAAAAAATTGGTGACTGAACGAAGGCCACTTCCTCAGAAAAGCCGCCCAGCTGAGCCTCTGAATTACCTCAATTCTGTTTATGTCGCAATTGACATCATTTGGCAGATAATGTATTTCTCTGGGGGAGGGAATAAAGGGAGCCCAGCCGCGGTGTGTCCACACTTACATGCTTGTGACACAAGTAGCAAGTTGGAGCATTTGCGTCGTGGCATCATTGCGTGCCATTTCGACACTGCTGTGTATGTCGCAGCTGCACAACTGAGAATTGTGTTGTCGCCTGTGAAATAAAGTTTATGTCAACTATCTAGAATAAATAAAAGTAGAAGGCAGAGTAAAGTGCTTTTAGCATCTCTGGGTGGATAAGTCAGTTCCTTTAGAAAATCCTGCTTATGCTTTTAATATGCAATTAGGTGTTTTTCTAAATATAGAGACATCTGTGCAATGCAGAAATGATTAGGACCGCATTACGCACCGTGCTAAACTCCACTAATATTCACGTTAAACCTAATCGGATTGTGACAGCCAGATGTGATTGTGTCAGAGCAGGTGTCATAACTGAAGCTTAATATGCAACTGACAGAAATGGGGAGAATAAAAAATTGAAGGCGAACCTGACAGCTTTCTGAGCTGTACTCCTCCAGTCATGCTCTACTTTCACGTGCCTCCCTGCCGGGGAGAGTTTTGACAGGCAGTTCAAGCACGAGAGCGCTTTCAGCTCAAAGACAGGCCACTTGCTCCCGAGACGGCCTTCCAGGATCGTGCTGAACTCCACCACGCTGCCCTGCCGCAGGTGCAGCAGCAGCTGCTTGAACTCGTGGCTCGCCTTCAGCACGATGTCTTTGGTTATGTCCTCCTCCTCTACGGCCCTGTTCCCGTTTCCGCCACTGAAAGGCATGCCCACCGTTATTTCAAATTTATACCGGTCGAACCTCTTTATGTGACAGTCGTGTTTGGTCAAATACTTCAGGCGGCAGAGCTCCTCCTCCTCCAGGGTCATGTTTTTGGGGTCGCATGCTGGATAGGTTTCTCCATACACACATCTCAGCCAGTCCCCCAGAAAAAAGGGAAGCATGTTTATTGCAGATTCTGCACTGTTATCGATGCTGGTCACTCTGACGTACTTGAATCTCCCCGTCCACGTCACCCGGTGCCCTTCCAGATGACTGCACAGAATCTGAGTCCGCGCCATGTTGGTTTCCCTCCAGGCCCGGGGCCCACAGAGAAACCCATACTGGTTCCACGTCAGCGTCGAGTTATACACCTTCATCCCCTCTGAGCGATACACATAAAACCAGCAGAACAACACAATCGCAGACAGCCATACCAGAATAAGCTTAACAATGGAACTCTTGGTCAGAGATTTCACCATTTCAACGGCAGAGACCCTGGCCCTTGTGCACAAGTGGAAAAGCAAAGGAATGACACACAGGACGAGAGTCACCACAATCTTTATCAGCTCTAACGTTATGAACCATCTTAGGAAGTGGAAAAAACACATCAGCGCAATGCCCAATATTAAGACAGGAAGGGCAAACAGGAATAAAAAGTAACCCACTGAAGCACGAAGTAGGCCAAGGCCGGTCGATTCCTGTAAAATCACAATGGAGAGCTCACACCACATGAAACAGACCAAGTAGGGGATCAAGTAGCAATAGACGCCTTTAAACTTCCGCAGCCGTGCCATGCGATAGAAAAGGTAGAACAAGTACAGGAACAAAAGGCAAGGGAGGCTCAGGTTCAGCACCAAGAGGTTGCCGAGCGGAATGCTGTAGAAGGTCTTACCCAGGATCTTCACGGGGCCCCAGTGGTCAGGGGCCCCCTGCAGGAGAGAGAGGGCCCCCGCAGCCACCTCAGTCAGCAGGGCCCTTCGCGTGTAGGGCTCTGCGCTGGTGCCCAAGCTCAGGTAGCTTGTCACCATGAAGAAAACAGAAACGGTCGCCAGCTCTGAGCAGGGCATCCATTCCTTGCTTGCTACCGGGAAGGAGAAGAGGACGAAGAGCACCGAGAGCAGGAAGTGAAAGTAGGGCTCCAGGTGATTCCAGCCAAAATTCCCCTCCGCCTCCTCGACATCAAGGTCCGGCTCAAAACGAAGGAGCAGGTCCGTGAGGGTGCGGAAGTTTTCCCAAGCTTTGCTGTCTTGGAAGACTTTCAGGGTGCAAATCACCATGGAAATGAAGGAAAGGTAGAAAATCACTAACGGGATGAAAAATGCAAAGAATTCGATGGTAAGGTTGCTGAGGATGAAGAAGAAGATGAGGGCGTTGATCTGGTGGGTTGGCACTATTGTGGACAGCCAGTGCATCCCAGCTTTCGATGCCACCTCTATCAGGTGCTCCTTGATTTCCATGATGGCATGAAGGGGGTACTTGATGATCTGGAAAGAGAGGCCATGCGGGTCATTCCAGAGCCAGACGGGCGAGAAAGTGAAGGGGCGGCCGCAAGAGGACCCTTTTGGAAAAGGCTGGCGGGCTGACTAGGAGCGGAAACAAGCCAAGCTCCTAATCGACCCCCGTCAGCGCCCCTGCGTCGTCCCCTCAGATCCAGAAGGCGAGAGAGCTGGACGTGAAACGGGCTGACGGCAAATCCCTCTGCAGGGTGGAAACGGGCCCAGCCACAGCCCTCTACTGCAGCGGCAGCAGGGACCCGCAGAAGGCCGGGAAAGGCCCAGCTGGGAAGAGCTGCAAGGGGGCTGTGTCCCAGCCCTTCCGCTCCAGAGCTGCTCCCAACCTGCTGCACAGCGAAGGTGGGGGAGCGTGTCTGAACTGTTAACCAGATCTCTCATGGCTCCCCAGGACCATAGGACCACACCTAACCACGATCCTGAGGCCAATGGGCTGAATTTCAGCAAAGCAACTTGTTCTCTTTTTTCCCCATAAATGAGGATGGGGATGGGGTGGGAAGTCTTGAGAAGGCCAACCGCGTGCTTTTGCCCTTGCACCCTCAGGCTGGAGCTCTAACCCCTGAGGCCGGGCACCTGTGCAGCCCAGGACTCGACACTGAGGTCCTCCAGAGGCCCTCCAACGAAGGGGGCCTTCTCCCCCACCCCCACCCAGTCCTCGACTCCGCTCTTCCAACGCTCTCCCTGCTAGGAAAACTTCCCTCCTTCGTGCGCGGCGGTCTGGGAACCGTTTCAGCGTTTGGTGTGATGCCCTCCGCCCTCCCCGAGCAAACAGGGGCACGTTCTGCGCCGGAGCCCTCGAGGCCTCCACCTTTTGCCGGAGCGGGAGCTCCTCAGGACTCTTTCCCGTCAGTTCGTCATCGTCGTCCTGCACGACCAAGCTTGGCGGGATGATGCCCTTGGCGTACTTCTTAGTTATTTCAACAAAATCATCCAAGGCAATGGAATTCTTGGCTGAAAGCATTAAACACAAAACGCGTTAGCAAATGGATAAGCCGGTCTTCGTCCGCAGCAGAAAGAGGCAGGAATGGTTCATTGTGGGAAAGTGCCTAAGCTGGTAAGAATGCAAGACTGGGTGTTTCTGGCATGTCAGGCTTCTTAAATGTTTTTGTTATAAAAATTGAGTCTTGTGAACGGATGTCACGGTCTTCCTCGGAAAAAGTTAGTCCACCTTGTTCAGAGTGGCCCAAAGGCTGCTTTTCGTCATGCCAGTCCAGGCCTGCTTGGCACAACGCTGGATTAAAGTGCTAACACTGAGAGGGGTGGGGAAATATTTCTTTCATTTATTAAACATATTTGTGTGCTGTCACAATTAAAAATGACTCGTGGCGGCTGACGTATTTGCTAAGGCCGTGGGTTTCCCACCCAGAGTGGCACGAAGTAGCGGGGATTCCCCTGCCTGGTTTGCCCAGCAGGCAGCCGCGCCACGCAGGGAGGCTAATCTGCTGAGCTCGTCCCAGCCAGGCCTAAGGCATCACCCAGCGCCTCTCCCCTTGCTTCTGAAGAGTCACCGGGACTCCATTTGGCTCTGATTTCTACAGAAATAAAATGCACACAATTATCTCCCAAATGATCAAGGCAACCATCACCTGAGGGGGAGCCCATCTCTTAGCCTTTTTCTGCAAAACAAAGAAAAAGGAGGTGCTGAAAAAAACCAGCCACAGGATTATTGCATGAGCTTCCTTGGATCACCCTCCATTTCACTATTTCTGCAATGTTTACAATACACACAAACTGTAATGCAATGTGAGAATGACCCTGGAAGACCGGGGGTGGGGGGGAGAGATGCTGCCTGGGGAACGGTCAGATAAGAGAGGGCATCGCCCGCAGCTGCATGATGGATGGAGCAAGAGGCTCAGAAGGGACCCTCCCTAGCCTCTCAGGCTATAAAGGAGACAGCGGGAGAGTTGTACTTTCAGACTTGCAAGCTTCTGTTAATGTAGCTTTACAATAAAGTAAAATTAGCTCATCTGGTCATGTTTCCTGTCTGGTCTACCTGGGAAGGCTGACATCAGTCTTGCAAGTCTGAAAGTACAAATCTCTTGCTGTCTCTTTTTACCGCCTGATCCATTAGGGTGGGTCCTTTCTAAGTTTCTTTCTCTGCCCATTACTTGGTTGGGGGCTCCTCCCCCTTTTATCTGATTGTTCCCTAGGCAGCATCTCCCCCACCATCTTCCAAGGTCATTCTCACATTCCATTACACAAACCCACACATACCACACTGCTATCTCTTTAGGAGCAGTGCTTCATCCGTGGTTCACTCTTCTCCCACCCCAATTTCAGAGTTACATTTTTCTCTCTTTATTCCATGAGTCTCTTTGGCCTTGTCCCCAGAGAGGCAGTGGTTACAACTGAAGTTGGCTTCTCCTGAGGAAAACACGGGCAACCATGTCCAAAGAGGGGAGTGGCCCCGTGCAGTCAGCCCTCCTTACCTTCGCTGCTGACGAGTCTCTCCAGCATCCTCCTCTGCTTCTGGACAGTCTTTGGAAGCGGCCCAGGGCACTGGTCCCCCTTGCCTGTTCTCGGAAATGCACATTTGTACGAAAGTTTTAATGGGAAGCAGGACACAAAGGGTTAAAACTAATAAGGAGCACCCTCAGGAAGCCACAAACCTAAGAAAGCCCCCAAACCATGGGAGGCTCAGCAATTCTCCTTCCACATGGTCAGGAACCCTGCTAATTTGCAGGCTACGCAGTCGTCTAAGCCAGTGTTTCTCAGCCTCAGCAACTTTTTGGACGGGTGGACTTCAACCCCCAGGATTCCACAGCCAGCATGCATGGAGTTGAAGTCCGCTCGTCTTCAAGGTGCTGAGGCTGAGATCTACCCCGGTGTTGCCCTGAGATCTGGCCGGGCAGAGCTGGGTCAGGTCTGGCTCCTGATCTCACCCAGCCAGGTCCCAGAGGAAAGCCCTCTTACTTTAAGCTGACCCACGGTGGGGGAGAGGCAGAGTGACTACACCGCAGATTACGTTAGGCAACTACATTCAGAAATCCATGAAGCTGTGAAATTAGCTGAAAATGACTTGCAGACAGACAGCTGGCCTGGTCATTTCTGCCGCCACAAATGCTGGAGTAGCAGGAAGCGCTTAGAAGAATAGGAATTGCCTTGATACAAATTAAGCTGAGATTATGACTTCTACACACTCTTTGTGAAGTGCTTCTTCACAGCTTAGCCATTCTGGCTTTTGAAAGCATGTGTGGAAAGGGGAGCAGTTCAGCACTCTCTCCCGACACAAGATGATGCGCTTCACCCAGCCAGAAGGGAGCTGAACTTCCCAAGGCACGATCACAAGAAAGCCACATAACCAAAGACGCAGACCAAGGTTGTCACAGCTGGTCCTCCACACATCAGTTGTGTCCACTGCCTTTCAGGAACCCTGACAGCAGAGATCTGTGTGGATCTCTCTCACTGGGAATCTCCACCTGATTGCCCACCTTGGGGGGGCGACTCTGTGCTAGCTGCTCTTCCATCTCAGGGTAGAGGCAAGAGTGGGACAGTTGTAATGCTGCTACAGTGGTGGTAACTCTCGTGACTGTGGCTGAAGAGGTCCCTGGCAGAGATGTCACCTCCATTTTTAAAGAAGACAACTGTGACTTTCAAGAGATTTTCCTTAATCCAGTCAAGATTAATTATGGCCCTCTACTGAAGAGTTAATTAGGCAAACTTATCTTTTCAGATGGCTGTTCAAGTTTAGTACATCTTTAACATGCAATAAAAGATACAAACCTTCACTGTCCACTTCACCAACATTTTCTAACAGTTCTGAAACTGCCAATTCCTTTTTCTTCTTTGGATTTAATTTCCAGTAGATGACTAAAGCAGCTTTTCTCACAGCTCTTTCCAAATCAGTCTCAGACAATAATCTCTTCACCTCTTGCATATTTTCTGAAGTGATGCCTCAAGAGGGGAAAAAACACAAACGTTAGCTTTGACCCTCCCAATTGCAAAACCTCAACTACAGTTCAGAGCAAGATGGATGTTCTACGTTAGGAATTCCTTCAAGAATTACAGAAGTCATCTCTTGTTATTGCTCAGAAGATTTCAACATTTCCTCCTGAATTAGATTTCCACCGTGACTCATAACAAGAGGGGATTAAGACATTTTTGCCCATTACTGACATCAAGGAGCATTTTATTCCACCTCTTTTACAGTGAAAACTTCACACATAGCTGCCAATTTCTCCCTAGACAAGATGGAAAGAAATGAATGCAAGAGAAAGCAAAACCAACACACCCCTTATTAGAGTCAGGGAACTTTCCTCCTGCTCAAAATGGTTGCGCCACTTGCATTTTAAAAAAACCACTGGTGTTTTTCTGGAAATGAAGGAGCCTCTTATGCTCAGCAGCCTCTTCCACAGCTTTGCCTTCATTCACCATTTCTCCAGCAGGCACACGAGCCATTGCAGGTAGACTGTGCCTGAAGGGTGTGTGTGGATGAGGGGTTCGCTGCGGCTGAGGTGGGCCCGGTGCTGCCCTGGCAGCTTTCTGCTCAAGATCAGGAGGGGCCCGTCAGCCCCTTTTCCAACAGGCCAGTTTTGTTGAAAGGCAGAAGTTCTTGTGGGCTGCAGCTCCCTTCCTCAGATGCACCGAGGGGTCAGACTGACACAGGGCTACCAACAGAAGGGAATATGTGTAGCTCAGGGTTCAGCTGACGTAGGGTTTAAAAGAGGGGGGAAGGGGGGCTGGGCGCAGGAATCGGATTCAAGCGTGCCAGATGGACGGCAGTCCTGCTCTGCTGGAGGGCTTCTCTGGGCCTCACAGTTTCTGATGCTCACCTGGAGCCCACCTTTCTGTTACTTAAGTTCATCACTCTGCATCCTGCCTTAAATCCTGCTGGAAGTACTGAGGAAAGCATACTTTACCTTTTCTTTCTGCCAAACAACTCCGCAGCATTTTGAGGGCTTCCCTTTGCCCCTGCTTGGCAGCCAGGACCAGCCACTCAACAGCACTGCAACTGTTCAGCTCCTCATCGTGCTCTTCCGCCAGCTTCAAGTAGTGCTTCCCCACCTACACACAGAAAGAGGAGGAGGTTCTCCTACGCTTGGCCAGCCGGCAACTTATCTCCTGCACCCACAGAAGACTGCACCTGCTGACAGCCAAGCACCTCTTTTATTACAGTACTAACGTACATCTAACAGCCCATCATTTGCACACTCCAAAATTTGTGTAGCAGGAGATGTTAATTTCCCTTTCACCTCAGTGAGATTTGGGCCACTTTTTAAAAAGCCAGCCAGGCTCACACCCACACCTGTTTTAACAGCCTATGTAGGAAGCCCAGAAGTGAGCTGACAGGCCTTCGTCAGCAGGGGGGAGAAACGGCAGCGGGAGGGGCAAGGGGGAGACAGAAGTTGCCTCTCCAGCTCCTGATCTTCCAGAGGGCAGCAAGAAGGGCTGAAGGGAAGGGGGTCCATCTTTTTTGGCTTTCAAGGGTGGAAGCAGAAGGGAAAGGGTCATCCTGAGCGCCTTTCCAGTCCAGAGGGCTACCTGCAACCCTCTTTAGAAAAGGCATTTAGGTTGAAAGAAGCCAGTGGAGTAACTCTCTCAATTTTGGGAGATTATGAATGTATGTCAAAGAAGATTATTGCTATGCCTTGCTAGCATGCTTAAACTTTGGATCTTGTAATTTGAATTTCATCTGCCTTTCATTTTTGTTTTTGAACAAGACTATAAATTTCAGCTGCACAGACATTTATGGAAACATTGCAAGAGAACATGATCCCCACCTTGCAGGAGATACCAATGGGCAAGTTAATTTTTATTAAAAACAGGTTTATGGGACACATCTTTCCACGTTTGTACGACACATTCAAGCCTCTTTTTTTTTTGCTGCGTCAAAGCAAAATCCTTGCCAGAGAGCACAATTCCTTGGCAGGAGCATCGGGCACAAGGGAAGCAGCCCTCCAAATAACAAATGTTTGCAGTAAAAAGGAAAGTTCGAGAAACATATTTGTTCAACGCATAGCCCACCTTTCCTCCGGGAGCTCAGTGTGGCCACATGTGGGGGGGGGGCGGAGGGTTCCTTCCTTTTATCCCCAGCAGCCACCCTGTGAGCCGAGTGAGAACGAATGACCCAAAGCCACCCACCCTTCTACGGCAGGGGATGGGCTTGGAGTTGGGCTTGCCCGGCTCAACCCTTGTCTGCCAGCTGGCACAGCAGAAGCTTAAGCGGAACATCCTTATTTCCGTGGGGAATTTCTGGCCTCCAGCTGTTCCTGAGCCACCAGCTGCAGCACCCTCGGCTCACATGGCCAAGGAAGGGAGGCCTGGAGATGACATCCAGCAATGCCCAGGAAGCTCCAGCGTGGCACGGCACAGCACAACGATCAGTTAGAATAAGACCTCTTATAGTTTCAGAAGTAAGCAACGATACGTTGGAAAACTGACATGACATTTGAGACCCCTTGTTTGCTTAGCTGTAGTTTACTATTTTTATTTCACTCTTGTATTCCTTTTATATGTCTTCTATCTCTTCTTGTCTATATTCCTTCTCTAAAGTGTACAATTAAAAAAGATAGAGTAATAAAGCATGCACAATAACCTCTGTCTGTGATTTGGGTTCTCCAGCTTTTGCTCTCGCCAACAGTTCTTCAAAAACTGCGCCTGGTTCATCCATCGTGATTTCTACGAAAGTCAGTCAAAAGAGATTCAAGCTTTACTAAGAGTTTGGAGATCACCAACTGCAAGGACAGAAGATTTCCACAATCCGGTGGGTCCTAAGGAGGGCCGCAGCCAAGGCAGAGGGCTAGAGGAGGGCTCCTCTGTGACCTGAGCCAGCTTCCCCGGCACAGCTGTCGGCCTGCTCAGAGGAGCCCGGTGTGCGGGCGTTTGGGCAGAGCTTAGGAGCTTGTGGAGTTGTCATCACAAGATCTCCTTGCTGCCACTCTCCTTGGAAAGCGTGAATGGTCGTGTGTATAGTGAGATGGGCGGCATATTTAAATTTGAAAAATAAAGTAAAATATAGAATATAAAAAGAGACTTGGGGAAACATTTTCCTTGGACAGGATTTGCCAGTAAGGCAGCTTTTACACACATGAAAACTGGACTTGATTATGACCCTAGGACATACCCAACATGCTTTTCTAGAAAAGTGCAGCCATTTGTCAGGCCCAGAGAGGCTGTTGGTCTTGAAGACTCAGCACGTTACTTCCAACAGCAGTGGCAGGGGAGCGAGGGCATCTCCTACTCGGGAGCATCCCAAAGACATCTTGCTGGCCACTGTGAGAAACCAAATCATGGACTAAGATGGGCTGATCCATGACCTTGTAGGGTGCCATGTTTCAGCATGCTCCTTCAACCAATAGCAGAGCCATCGAGCAACATGGTCCTTCAGCCCATGCTTAACCGGCTAGTCATCAAACAATGTTCTTCTACTGCTTTGCTGAAATTAAGCTACATTAAGCATTCCTATGGTCTACTAAAGGAGTTACTTAAGCAGGCTAGTGACAATTTTAGAGGTACACCTTGAAGCTTTTCCAAATAAAAAGGGAAGGAGGGAAAAGTTATAGCCCTTTCTAAACAAATAAAGATCACAATTTCTTCCAATTGTAGACCTATTTCTTTGATAAATGTGGATGCTAAGATTTTAACAGTTACTTTGGCTGAAATTTACAGCTTGTCATTCCAACTATTGCAAACCCAGGACAGGCTCAATTTATATGCAGCCATCAAAATTCTGGTGTTACTGATTTTTTAATAAATGTTTTGGAACCTGAGAAAATTTTGCAGTTTCTAGGAAATGTCTGAAGCTGCTACTAATGTGTTATGGGTTTCCTCCATGTTTACTGCCTAGATTGGCATATTTTATTTATCTCCCTAAATTACATATTATTCCGAATAGTTTAGCACTACATTGGTCAATATATCCTGTAATAATTCTTTCTCCTTTTCTCTTTAATTTGGCTTGATAACTTTTCTTGTGTTATTAGGAATTCTGAACATATTAAGGGGATCAAAGGAGAGGAAGGCAGAATCTAAATTTCTGCTACGTGTAGATGTTCCACAGATTAGCCAGGAACTCCCAACCCAAATATTTCATGAATATGAGAGTCTGGTTAGTCTAAAGCAAAGTAGGCATGATCTCTTTGTGTCTCAGTAAGAATTTATTGAACATATTTGTCAACCTGCCTCGGTCATGGAAGTGGTTGTTTTCACACACTATGGTTTTAGATTGTGCTCTTTCATTTTTCTCAGCATAAGGCTTCCTAGGCAACTTTCTCAAATAGGAAATGTAAACTTATTCTTGATTTTGATACAAGATGGTTCAGGAAGCTTAAATTGCAATTATACATTGGGAAAGGTGGCATATGTACGCCGCCCAGAACCGCTTGGAAAAGTGAGATGGGTGGCTAATAAATTGTATAAATAATAAATAATAATAATACACAGCTGGAATAGTGGATGGGACTCAAGCTGAACTGGAGGCCCTGGATAGGAAGACCAGAACAATAATGACAATGAATCATGCCCTTCACCCATGCAGCAATGTTGACAGACCAAGGAGCAAAGGTGGCCGTGGAATGTTGCAAGTACACCAGACAGCTGAAGAAGAAAAAAGGGCATTGGAAGAATATC